GTGGAGAAGCTCAATGAAGAGGCTATCACTTCTACCTCGGCATTTGAGTGGATCTCACAGTTGAGATACTATTGGAATAAAGACGATACTGGTAGAGAGAACTGTTGGGTTATGATGGTCCAGACGGACTTCCCCTATGGGTAGGCGGTCGGCTGTCTAGGTTGGTATAAGAGGGGCAGCCTACTTGTGTAGGTACGAGTATCTTGGCAACACCTTCCGACTTGTAATAACCCCACTCACTGACATGTGCTATATGACTCTAATGGGAGCCCAAAGCCTCAATCTAGGAGGGGCGCCTGCTGGCCCTGCTGGTGAGGGGTTCGAATCCACAGGTTGTAGTTGGTAAGATACGAAGTAGGTACGGGAAAGACCGAGACCACCAAGGATCTTGCTAAGGCCCTGGCCAAGCAGTGTGTTGTATTCAACTGCTCTCCTGAGATGGACTACATTATGGTTGGCAAGTTCTTCAAGGGTCTTGCCTGTTCTGGAGCATGGTATCGTCATCAAGCCTCATCCTTAGTGGCTCAGCTTCCTCCTTCTCCTCTCCAGGTGTTGTTTCGATGAGTTCAATCGTATCTACATAGAAGTGCTCTCCGTGATAGCCCAGCAGCTGTTGGTCCTATTTGGTGCTAAGGCCGAGCTGAGCAGCTACTCTGAATCAAAGGAGTTGGAATTTGAGGGTTCTACTATCAATATGAGGCCGACCTTCAACGTATTCATCACCATGAACCCTGGGTATGCTGGTCGAACTGAGCTACCTGACAACCTACAGGTCGGTAATCACTGCGGCTATCACTCAATAATCCCTTCCAACAGGCACTCTTCCGACCAATGGCTATGATGGTCCCTGACTACGCCCTCATCGGTGAGATCATGTTCTATGCCTATGGCTTTGCATCGGGTAGAGCGTTGGCGCAGAAGATGGTCAGCACGTTCAAGTTGAGCAGTGAGCAGTTGTCTAGTCAAGATCATTATGACTACGGTGAGGTGCCTCGTAGAGGGGGTGTATTCTACTCGGGTTGTAGGTATGCGAGCTGTGAAGTCGA